CCCTTCTCCCCCATGGGGTGCTTGACACTTTGGAACATTTTTCCTGAGGCCATTAGGCCTCATTGGCCATTAAGCCAGGAAAATCTGGCTTTAACGTTCAACGTAATTTCACAGTCACAGCCATGCCAAAGAGCCAGGTTTCATGTGTAAATTCTTCCTTGGTTATCCTCCAAAAACTACTCATAAGGAGGAAATATCTAACTAAATGATCATGCCAGCAAGCAAGGTGTCATATGCTTCCTTTCATCCCTGAGGGTCTAACAGCTTAACATCTAAATTCCAGAAAACTAGAATTCCTCACTTAAAAACAGGAGATCTCAAAATATGGGTGCAGAACCCATCACAGGCTGTGCAAAGGTCTACTGGATTAGGATTTTGTTTGTTTTGTAAACAACTGCTGCAGACAAGCTTTGCTATTCCATGAACACAGTTAGGAAAACAGCCTGCCGGAGGGTACACCACCCACACTAACACACGATGCAATGGGCCACAGCGCACATCTGTGCTCTGCGCTATTGCCACACCCAGAATCATTCTGGCCTCAGTGTGGTTCCTGTGACAGAAGTCTGCAAAATCGCCATCCACAGCAAACACTCTGCTATGAAACCAGGTGCCGTGATCACACAGCTGCTCCCTCAATTCCCCTGTCAGCACTACAGACCCCAAAGGTTGCACAAAGCCTAATGCACCAACCACAGGCATGTTTCACTGTTCAGCAGAGGCAGGGAAAAGCAGAGCCATCTACAGAAACACCAGGGGCAACAGCAAGAGGGCTGCTTGGCCATGCGGCCCAGACAGGCGGCTTGCCCTCTCCGCACTCTGCTATTCCAGGTTTACAGATGAGGAGACTCATAGGGCCTCCATCAGGGCTGAGGATTCAGCATGTGGATGCATGTAAATGCTCAACACAAAGTGAGTGAGCAAAGCATGTTGGCTATTATGTCGCGCCTCTCTCTCAGCTAGAACTCTGCCAAGTTGACAAAATAAAAATCTCAAACCATGATTCCTACCTTATCTTTGTCCATTTAATTACTTTGATTTTCCAATTACATGGCCAGGCTTACCTTGACAGAGGTAACGCAGTTTAAGATGCAACGCGACACCGCAGGGACCCTTCTTTGTAAGACTGCTCAGGCAAGTCAAAGCACTTTCTAAACTGCCGGTTTACTCCTCTAGGTCCTGAGGACAGTGCTCAGGAGTCAACTCACTAAAGGGGCAGCCTGGCTCTGATGGGTGGGGTTTGAAAACAAAGAAAAGTGCTCTTTGATGAAGGGAATGGGATGGACTAAGTCCTGCTGTCTTAAATGAAGATCAGCAAATACACTGCAGCATATAAAATCCAGCCCAAGAAAGCCTCCAGGTTGTTAATGCAGGTTTGTAAATACAGCAACCATAATGAAATGGCTGCTTTTAATGATTTCCTATAATGGTGTTTATAGACAGAAGCTTTTTCTCCTGTTGAAGCAATTTAATTGGAAAATGGCAAAGGAATAAGAGGCAGACATCCAGTTCTGTGGCACGCACACAGGGTCACCACTCTGTTGTAGCCTTAATGAGCTCCTCCTTGCTGTACCTGTTTGCCCTTGTCAGGGACCTGGCAGGTGCGGCCCCGTGCTCACAGCCCTCTCCTCCTGCCCCGCTCCCTGCATTGCTCCCACCTGTCCCCCAGATTTCTGCTTACAGGTGACCTCTGGGATGGATTCTCTGATGCTTCCACCTGATGGTCACTAGGGCCCCTGTGCACCTCCTGTTGTGGTCCTTACCCACTGGGCGTCAGTGCCTGTTCACTAGTGTGCACTGTCCAAAGGACTGTGAGCTCCGAGATGGCATTCACTGTGATGCAAATATCTGGGTGCTTGCTGCGTGCGAGCAGTGTCACACTGCAGACAGGATAGCCGACAGCCCTGCTCACATGGAGCCCACATGTGTAAAGTCTGGGACTATGTAATGAAAGGAATGCAAACACAGACATACCAGGCAGAGCAAGTGCCAGAGGACAAATGACAGAGACACTACGTGAGAGCATGTATGGGCATTGGGCGGGAGGGTCCTTTCCCTCCAGGAGCTCAGTCTTACTGGAAAAGATACTACCACTGGTTACAGTGAACATATACTTTTAATGAGGGAAGGGACGGGATGAAATGATTCGAGATGAATGATTTGGGAAAATGAAGCCCGCTCGCAGCGCAGACAGGTGGGCCCCGGCGGCAGGCAGGGAGCCTGAGCTGTAGACACAGTCTCCCGGAAAGAGCCCTGGGGAAACTCGCAGTGAAGATGGCCGCCCCACTTCGGAAGGTCTGTCCCTCCGTTTCCAACCTTATTTGATTAAGGAGCTTTGCTGGAGTGTTAAATTTCATAAAATGAAACTTCAGAGAAATGAACGGGGGTCAGCGGAGTAATGCCTCTTTGCCGCGGCTGGGAACTTCCTGGCTGCTCGCCCCGGCCAGCAGCTTGCGGCCCCAGGCGTCAGACATGATGATGTCTGACTCAGCACGTGGGACGTGGGCCCATGGCTGGGCTGGTAGCAGGGGCCGCCCCGTAACTTAAGTTCCCACCCAGGGCCTGGGTTCAGGTCAGTCTCAGAGCCAAGGCGCTGAGGCCCTAAGAGGCATCCTCACCCCTCAGGTCACTGCCGTTCAGCTCCTACTGACTTTGATGAAGCTAAATGCATCCAACTGGCGGCAGCAGCAATCTGTCCCGCTGATCTCGTCTTCCTCATCAGAGCCTTCTCTGCCCCCTGGCTTCCAGACACCACCCGCCTCGTTTCCTTCCTACAGTTTTGGCTGACTGACTGGTTGATGGATCGGCAGATTGCTTCACTTGTTCATTTCAACAAGCGTCTCTGTCACACACTGTGTGCACTCCGTGGTGGGCTCTGGAGATGCATTAGTAGATAAAACAAACATGCTCTGCCCACAGAGTTTAGTGGGAAAGTCAGTCAAGCAAAGAAATACACATACGTCATTTCGTATGTCAGTGTTATATGAGAAGGAAATAAACGGGGTAGCAACTGAGTCAGCACAGGGACTCGTACAGACCAGTGCCCAGGAGATGCCTTCTGAGGAACTGCACTTAACTGGGACTGGAATGACCTGCTGGGTCTCCTCAGCTGGCAGCCCCAAGGCTTGGGCCATGGCTCTGTATTTCTCACCTTCACATGGACTTGCACTGCTTCAGTAACTGTCTGCTAATAACCTGATGTGTCCTGCTTTTCTCCAGCCCACACTTCTTTGACTTCTTAAGGTATACCTATCACCTTCCGGTGCTCATCTCCACCCAGATGTCTCAAGATACCTCAAATTTATGCCCAAACAAAACACACAATCTTCACCCTGCAAAACAAAACAAAGCAAAATGACCTAACCCTTTTTCTTATGCTCTCATATTGGTGACTGGCCCCCAAGCAGGCCATTGTGCGATACAGACATTTTTGGGACATCTCTACACATGTACCTTCTCCTTTAACCTCTGTTTCCAATCCTTCAGCAGATCTTGGCAAATTCATACCTTTTCTACATCTCAATTGCCACCATCCTAATCCAAGCAATAGCTTTGCCCACCTAGACTTCTACAATGCTTTCCTAGCTGGTCTCCCCACTCGCTTCTGATCCACTGATGCTTTCTCTTCACTACATAGTGATTGATTCATAGCATAAATCTGAACTCATCCCCTTCCCTCACTATTAAGATCCTTCACTGGTTTCTTGTGAATCTTTGAACAAAGATTAGACTCTCTAACACAGTCCCCAAGATCTCGTGTCACCTAGCTCCTGCCCACCTCTCCAGCCTCCATCCTACAGCTCTGTACCTTCCACACACATGACTTTTTCACCTCCTGGAATGCATCTGCCCACCTCCCCTCAAATCCCACCTTCTTTACCTAGTTAATTCCTCAGTTCAGACATCACTTCTAGAGGAAGCTATCCTGGAATTGTAAACTGAATCAAATTCCCTTGATACCCTCTCATGGTACTATGTTATTTAATGTTATAAGACCTATATAGATTTATAATTAAATGTAAGTGTGTAATATTTGATTACAGTCTCTCTCCCCAGTGAAACTTTAAGTGCTATGAAAGCTGCACTCACACTTCAACTCTTCCTGATCCTGGCCCTTCTTCCATCTCTCCTCTGCATGTGAACACTCCCTAAGGTATGCTGCTCCTCCCTCTTCTGACCCCACACCCTTTCAAACACAGGGATCTTCCTGCCTCACGACTTCAAAGCCTTATCCTCAACCCCAGGCTCTTCAAAGATTCAGTTAAGCGTCTCCAAGTAGATCAGTGGCTTTGCAACATTTTGACTGCAACCCATAGTTGGAACATTTCATTTGGCAACTTACTGCACACAGACACCCCTAACAAATAAGCTTCATGAAATACTGTCATTCTATTTTTTTCCTATTTTATTTCATTAAAAAGTATTTTATTTTTCACATAATTCCAATATTCTTTAATAGGTTGACCTGCAGTTTAAAACACACCATACCAAGCACATATTTCCACATGGACATTTCCCCACAACCTCAAACATAATATATCTATTTCCCAACTCATTTGTCAACCAAATTTCCTTAATAGGGAATAGGAACAGCATATTAGAGTCATTTTGGATTCCTCCTTATGCAACAGTTGCTCAAACCTATTGGTTCTCCTACTGCAATGTGTCACCACCCACTCCATCCTTCCCATTTCTACCATCACAGTTCAGATTTTACTATAACTTAGAATGCTGTAATAGCCTTTCTAGCTGGTTCCCTACTTCCAGAGTTTTCAAACAGGGGAGACATATGTTGGAATGACAAACATCAGGGCAGAAAGCTAACTCGACCCTCCGGTTCCAACAAAGTAGTACGAAAGGGACTGAAATGGATGTGCTCCCTGTGCCCACCAAACTCCTTGACTAATTAAATTTAAATTCAGGCTGCCTCATGTTTCTAAAATTCCTATTAGAATCCAGGAACCAGACCCAGGCTTTGTGGTAATGGCGGGCAGACTCACCCATGTCGGCAGTGACCATGGTGGACTGGTTTTCAGGGATGGAGACAGAGGTCTGGTCCTGGTCCAGGCTTCGAGAGTCCTCGTTAACCTCATGCTGACTCTGGCTGAGCTCTGAGCGCAGTTCTGAGTACTCATCTTCCTCCCTGAGAAGAAAGGAGACTTAGCCACCACTGGCAGAGATGAAAGACAAATCCCTGGAGAATATGTCTTTTAAAAGCAAGGAAAAGACTTCCACAGAGAACAGATCCTCCCCTCCGTGGACCAGGATTCCTTCCAGACCATGGGGTCATACCTACTGTCACTGTGTGCAGCTGAAAGGCTGCTTCTGTGCCCACGTACATACCCATACTGAGCAGGACTGATCTTTCAGCTGAGTAGAAACTTTTCCCCTTCAAAGAGTTCCTGAAGAAATTACATTTCTTCACCTCCTCAAATTCTTTTTTTTTTTAATTTTGGTATCATTAATCTACAATTACATGAAGGATATTATGTTTACTAGGCTCCCCCCTTCACCAAGTCCCCCCCCCACATCCTCATTCACAGTCACTGTTCATCAACAGAGTAAGATGCTGTAAAATCACTACTTGTCTTCTCTGTGTTGCGCAGCCCTCCCCATGCTCCCCCAACACTATACATGTTAATCGCAATGCCCCCTTTCTTTTCTTCCCACCCTTATCCCTCGTCCTCCCCAGTCCCTTTCCCTTTGGTAACTATTAGTCCATTCTTGGGTTCTGTGCTTCTGCTGCTGTTTTGTTCCTTCAGTTCACCTCCTCAAATTCTGAGGTAATAAAGAACAAAGACCACCAGGCTGAGGCTACGTGAGCACAACCATCAGGAACCTGGTGCACAGGGATGGCACCTCCCTTCATCGGGAGGGTCCCCCTGCTGGGCTTTCTTTGTGGAAGAGGACACAAGGAGGCACTGGGGCTGGGGCTAGCCCAAAACCAGCACCTCATCCCCGCAGATCACAATGGTTGCTTTGAGGGGTGAAGGAATCAGCATGCCTACTGTTTTCCCTAGAGAAAGCAAGTGGAGTTAGGGGCCAAGCAGAGGGTGAGGTGAGGGGTGGAGAAAAGACTGGAAGCAGGGCATGTGAGGAGGCCACTCACTGGTCTGCCTCCTTCAGGCTGCACCTGCTGACGGGAAGACTACATTTCTGTGCAGCCATGTTTCCCTGCACAAGCCCACCACCCCTTCTTGGATCCTGCAACCTCTGGTCTCTGAATTAGCTATGAGCAAGCTCAGAAACCGAGGGTTGTAGTGTGTATTTCTAAGCACACACATACTCCCTTCCCTATGCCCCAGGCATGGGGAGTGCAAAACTGACCCTCTCTGAAGCATTTCTTTTGCCAGTGAGCCAGAAGAGAAAAATGTGAGGGGACTTAGTTATGAGGTTGGAAAGCACACACGTATCCGCTCGGCTGCAGGGGAGGGTGTCCATGAGGAAAGATAGGAAGAGAAGAAATCCATCCCCTCAATTGGCCACCACCAACCAGGGGGCAGAAAGTCTATAGTCTTGGGTTTGGGGTAAACAAAGAGGGGGAAGGGTGGTCATGGAACTTGTGGGAGAGGCAACTGCCATTTTAAGCTGGGGAGACACAGCTATGAATTAGAGAACTGTGAAGTGCTCCCCAGAGTTCCTGGCTCTCTCAAGAACTCAACATCCTCCCAGCGAAAGGATTCAGCTGAGCCCCAGCTTTCTACGGTATTTTTAATAAAAGCCATCCAGAAATCTGGAAAGACTTCGAATAGATATAAGGCCCCCAGACATGCAAAATATGAACTAGAATGGGAGTGGTGAAGGCAAAAAATATAGGTTAATGTTCTATGAATAAGTTAATTATTAGACATCTGCGAAGTCAGTAATAAATTAGGTTCAGGAAAGAAAACAATTAAAAAGCATTCTTAAGAGTCATCTTTTTGGTCTAGAGGGTAATTGTGCCCTGACATATCAGCTCTCCTTTCAATCAGCACTTAAAATTCTGATTTTAGTTAACAGGAGGTTTTGTGTTTGATGAATAAATTACCTTTGTTGCATGGCCAATGTAATCAGCTTCAACATGGCTGAGACTGTTTCACAGCCAAGAAAGGCAGATAAATGCAGCTGCTGTATCTCTGGTAGAAATGGCATTTGCAAAATCTTCAATAGCCACCTTAAACCCTGGCTTGGAAGATTCCAAAACATCCTGAGCCTGCCAAATTGCCTGCTTCGTAAGGAATTACTTCTAAGAATTATCAGGACGAACTTTATAAAGGAGTGAGCAGGGAAGGGGTGAGCAGGAGCTGCTGACTGTCAGAGACCCTCCTTACGGGGGTCAGAGCACAGCCTGAGGGAGAACCATGCCATGCTAGAAATGCCATCCTTGGTGGAAGGCTTTCAGTGTCATGATGCATGAACTCAGGATCCTCATTCAGTGTATCCGAGCACCAAAACAAGGACAGGAAAGCAAAGACCTGAGGGAGGCTGTCTTCTGGGAGTGAAATCCGGTCACACCTCGTTCTCACCTAAGAAGGATGCTGCGGGCGGGCAGACCCAGGAGGAGCCTCTGGGGCTGCAGGTGGGTGGTGACCAGGGAGACTTCCTGGATGGGGCAGCACTCAAAATATGTCTCCAGCCAAGTAGATTTTAAATAGGCAATAGGAGTGGAAGGGCACATGCAAAGGCTCAGAAAAGCCTTTGACTGTGAACATGAACGTGTGGAGCTTGGAGAGGAATCAGTGGTGAGCATAGATGAAACCAAAATGGGTGCAGGATGGAAATACGAGGCCAGAGGGGCACTTGGACCACTGGTTGAGCAGGCAAGCTTGATCAGAAGGAAAACTGATTGTACTGAAGGAGGCAAATCATCAGGGTTAGATGAGGGAAATAAGATAAAATGTGTAGGAATAAGATAAAAAGTCTAGGAATTCAGGGGAAGGAGTGTGGGTTGCCAAGATCTTCCATGGAAGCAGATGGAATAAGCAGGAGAGCAGCGTGGAAGGTCATCTGTGCTCTGGTCCCTACAGGGAGAGCACACGCAGACCCTGGTCACTGTCCCTCCTGATGGAGATCATGATGAGCATTCTGATGCAAAACAACACGCACAAGCAAAGTGAACAGTCACTGGAGGTGGAGAGCAACCTCGAGAGAAGATCAGACAGGGCTTTGTGCTACAAAGAATGAAGTTTAAAAAGGTTAAACTGACCTTAAATATTAGGAAGTTTGTGCAACCCTGTTTCTCCCACTGACTTTGGTAAAAAATCATGGAGTTGCATATTTTATCATCTCCTGAACATCATGATGGGTGTCAATCCTGAAAGGAGGCTAGAACCTGGGACCAGGAAATGACAAAAGCTAATTCTCTCAGGGCCCCTTGTAAGTTGTCGATTTTGGGATTGCAGCACATGGGGAGGACTGACGTGTGGGAGGTTTCTCTCCCTACTACATTCTCCAGGAGCACTGGTCCATTGAGAGCAAAGGAACAAGAAGCCAAAAACAGCCCACTGGTCCATGGCAGTTTAACAAAGGCGAAAATGGGAAGCGCGGATTGAAGGCTACTACCCCGCGCAGTGGGACACCAGCTGTAAAGGAGGCTAGCTAAGGGCACAGCATCAGCACCTCACAGCAACTTCGTTGTCTGTTTCCTTTTGTTGTGTACAGAGTAACTTTTGGCAAGTGATAACTTATTTCTATGGGGGCAAAATGCCCCCTGAAAGAACATCAACAGCTAATGCTGGCGGTGAAAAAGAAGACATTCAAGGTCCAAGAAGTGACTTATTTTAAGCCAAAAAAAACTGCCAGAAGCTCTGATACACTGACAAGTGTTGAAAATTATATGCTATTGGTAGTTCCATAATTATGGAATTACAAAGTTCTCAGGAGTTTCTCCTTGGAACATAAAGGATCATCTCACAGGATTCTAAATGTACATTATTTCATTCACTGAGAAGCATTTGTGAAGTGCTTCCAGTTGCTCTATTTAGAGCTGCAATGATTAATGCTTGCTAACAGCTTAAACAACAAAAGCAAGCCAAACTGCTCCCAAGGCGGCAGGCTTTAGACTGTACACTCACCTGTGTGACTAGCAGTGCTGGAAGAGGGACAGACGGTCAGACGGGAAGGGATCTTAGGGACCATGTAAGCCAGAATCAATACCTTTATTTCACAAATCAGACAGCTGAAGCTTCAAGAGGCCAAGTGACTAACCCAAGATTCTGCAACTAGCCAGCAGCACAGCCTAATTCCTAGACTTAGTACTAGCCAAACAGCTGGTGTGGTGGCCTAAGGAAAAGATTTTTTTTGTTGTGTGTTTTTAAAGATACCTTTTCATTATTAGATAAATGAATAGATATCCTGATTAGAAATGATCTAATCAGGAAAGGGAAAAGTTTGTGAAAGTATCATTCTCATCATGCTTCCAGACCTCAAGCAGCAGCATTTGACAAAAATATTACTTCATTAGCAATCCCCTATTTTATTTTATTGGGGTGCACTTTCTGCCTTGTCACTGGATTGGAGTGATTTGTGAACAAGACCCAAATGGGCATCTGCCTACGTGGCAACTGTCAGTCAATGATATCCAGCGAACCCAGTCTACTTGACCTGGGGTTTTTAGTTGAACCAGTCTGTTTTTCTTACAATTAAAGGCAGACTTGACCTAAAATGGACAACATTCTTTTAAAAAACAAAGATTTTTGTAGATACAAGTTCTTAGAGGATCTATAGCAGAAAATAAGTGATAAGTCAAGTCCTGATTCTTCCTGTAATTCTTCCTCTTATTTTTCCATAGAGCGCAACAGAAGATCAGATTAATCTAGGAATTTTTTGGTGAATAAATGAACAAATGAGATTTTGAAATGCTCTTGTATGTATATAATAATCCATCATTGTCATCAACAAGTACAAGTTTTAACATGATCTTACAGAGGGTCGATATTCAAGACCTTCTAAATAGTAAACAAGGGTTTTTAATACACACTGCATAGGAAGACAGGGAAAGAGAAAGTTACCTCTCTGGGTTTTATCTTTTATATCATTCATTACATTTTACTTCTTAGGCCAGATATTAATCAAAACATATTTTGCTGGGAGGTAAAGAGGTTTTGATTATGCTGTATTTGAGATGCAACCACATGAAGATGGACAGACACAGCAGTGTGCATGGCGAAGCATGGGCCAAAAGCTCAGGAGAAAGGCCAAGCTCCTGGTGCAGGCATGAGGTCTCAGTGATCACGAGACAGTAGATGGAGACTCTGGGACATTATCTCAGTTGCCAAATGAGGAGCATTTTTCAGACAAGGAAACAGAAGAGTTAAGTGCCAATGCAGAGATGCAGGTAAGAGGGGTCAGCGCTTAGGGCTGCAGCCATTCAAGGAGAAAGGTGTTGGGGAGAGCACCCAGGGTAAGAGCCCAGGCGAGGACAGAAGGAAGAGCTAGCGCCTATGGGGTCCTAGAGGTCTGAGGAGAGCAGACCAGGAAGGAAGGACCAGAAGCAAGGGAAGGTCATAGGTTTTTCTGTTAAGAAATATTGGTGATTTTCAAAAAAGTGTCTTACTTAGTTCAGGCTGCTCTGACAAAGTATCACAGACTGGCTAGCTTAGATAACAGGAATTTATTTTCTCATAGTTCTAGACTTTGGTCAAAATCAAGATGCCAGCATGGTCAGTTTCTGGAAAGGCTTTCCTCCAGCGCAGTCCACCGCCTTGTCGCTGTGCCCTCACCAGGCAGGGGGAGACAGGAGCAAGTTCTTTGGCGTCTCCTCTTCTAAGGGCACTTGCTCACCCCAGCACACGGCCCCCACCTTCCTGATCTCAACTAAACAGAGTCGCTGCCCGAAGGCCCCATCTCCAAATACTATCACACTGAGGGTCAGGGCTTCAGCATATGAATTTGGTGGTGGGGGGCACAATTCAGTCCACAGCAAAAAGAGTTTCGGCAGGCTGCTAGGGTCAGAAGCCAGGCAGCAGTGGGCTAGCAAGCAGACAGGAAATGGAGCAGAAAATACAGTCCACTCATGAGAGTTGGCAGGGAAAGTTTGATGTTATGAGAGTAGCATTTGGGAAAAGAAAATAATTGCCTTGGGAAACAAAGATCTCATGTTTAATTTGCTTAGGCATCTTTTTTCTTCCCCCAGATCCAAAATGAGCTACTGATGTATTTTTCCATTTTCCTCATCATATTATATAATCTCCCCAAGTCAGATACACATTTAAAAAAGCCACTCATAATATACAGTTAAAGGAAAAAGCACATATTACAAAACAGTGTGTGCTATATGATCCAGCGTGTTTCAAATACTCATGAATAAAAATTTCTAAAGGCTATATATGTAGAATATTCAATTTAGTCCTAGGAGATGGGATTAGGATGCATTAGGTTCAATTAGGAAAACAAACTACACTAGATGTTTCAAATGGACAGGATTTATTTTAGGGAGCTTTGTGCTTACAAAACTTGGCAGGACTGGAGAAGAGGAGTGGGTGGAGGCCACCAAGAGCTGTCAGATTTGCCATCACAGCTGTGGGCCCCTCAGAGATCAGGGAACTGCTGCTACCTTCAAATCTGCAGCCTGAGTGGAGGCCAGTCTGTGTAGGACCTCATGCCCACCAAAGCCTGCACGTCAGCCACCATCATGGCCTGAGAACAACAGTTCCCACCTCCCATCTGCCTACAAACCCATGTCTCATTGGCAGAACTAAAACTTATCCATAACCCAGCTGTTAATGGGAGTCTGGGGGTAGTCTCCAGGGTCTGGCCTCTTTGATCTTGGGCAGAGAAGACAGAAAGGGGTAGGGAATGCTGGGTACCTAATAACACCTGCTGTAGTCCACCCACTTTGGCTACTAGACAACCATACACATCCTCTTCCACAGAAATTCCCAAACTGCCATAGCAATGACACCAAGCTTTTATACCCGTCCTCATTCCAATATAAATGGGTTCCCCTTCTCACCCAAAGTCCCATCAGGCATTGTATCCACTGTTAGGGGATCATTCCTCTTCTAGTTCAATGGCAAATCCATCTCATTATCGTGTAACCTAACAATTAGGTAAATTTCACCAATACCAACTCACCTTATATAACAGGACAAAATAAGTGTATAAAAAGGAAATTGTATACATACATAAACCAGAAAGAAAATATGCATAAACAGCTTAACCATCATTTTTACAGCTGGTCATGAGACTATTGTTGATATTTATAACTTCGTTCTTTACTAGAGAATTCTTATTTCCTTTGTGTTTGACCAGTCTCTCACGTGGTTAGAGTTCTTTACCTAGTGAAGTGATTTGAAATCTTCATTCCTGAGGGGCCTAGCCCTAGGTGTATGTACCCAGCAGCGCCTGCCTGGGATCAGATCGCTACCAAGCATCCAAGCAAAGTAGGGCTAGCTTTATCAGGGGGGAGGGGAGCTGCCTCTGCAGAAAGCTCAGTGGGGTTTGTAGGCTCTGGGTATTTTGATTCATTTAAAGCTACCCAAGTATCTCCATTCAAAATTTCAGCATTTCATCTTTTCCCATCAAAGCTTAATCTCTACCTAAGAGATCTGATGTGGCTGCAAATTCATCTTACATGGGAATTCAGCAACCTGTTGTGTCTTGATTCTTGGCTACACTAGCCCTGTGGCTATAAGCGACAAGGGAGCCTTCTAGGGCAGCTACAGAAGGGCCCTGGTTCTCTGATTGTGACCTAAGACACAAATGAGAAGTCAGAAATTGTCATTTTCTTGTCTTCATCGATTCAGTATTGCTTAAGTGTGGATATACCATAACTTAATATAAACATTCCCTTATTAACGATTTCTCAGCTTGTCTAAGAAATTCCTAACTCAGGTCCATATTGAAGAGGTAAGGAAGTCTGTATGGTACGAGTACTGTACCTGACTAGTGTGACAGTCATTCTCTAGAGCCTGGAAATGCTGGGGCAGTTAGAGTTGCTCCGAGGTGTCCAGCTCATCCTGTACCCGATCTATCACAGCAGCTCAGGGCCTGCAGGGCCAGTGGCTGGGAGAGGCCTTCACCACTGGGCCTCAGAGGACAAGAAGAGCCGAGTCCTACTGGCCCACATAGCTTCATGTCTTCTAGCCTGACAGGGAGTCCCCTCAAGGAGGGGCCAGCTCATTTACAGAAAGAAAACTGGCAGAAGTGAATGTGACATCTGTACGGTACAATCTCCTTTTAAATAAAAGGCCCTGATAAACCTTTATGGTCAAGTGGCTCACTGCATTTTAAACAAGCAGCAGCTTGGCCATTATATTTAATTTAAACATCCTGAAATTGAGTTTTCCAGGTGACGTGTGATGCATTTTTTTTTTTCTCACAACTCACCGAGCCCATTTGCCTTCACCTTCACAAGTGTTAAAAGTGCAACATGCTTTAATGGAAATTACAAATTGGCCAGTGTACTCGGTTGGCCTCCTTTAAATCTGCTCCAATCATTTCTTTCTGAAAATCCTCTGCTCATGCCTTGCTAACCTACAATTACCCTGAAAACCAGGATACGATTTAATAGCCTGAGGTTTTAAATTGGCATGTAAAATGTAGTGTGCGACTCCAGTTCAGTGCACATTTTTCTCTGACTTTGCCTGGAAAACGGGCCCATCAGCACTCTCATCAAGCTGCCCTGCCATCCCCAAGACTCTCAGAGTTGGAACAAATGCACCAAAGTTTCTTCCACCCCAGGACTTCTCAGAGGGAGAGTTTAAAGGAACTGCCTCAAGAGCTGCTCTAACTGTGGCTTGTGCAAACGTTCAGTGAACAAGCAGCCTTTCTCCATAAAGGTAGGTGCCCTGTGCTTTCCTCAGGGCCGTTTCTGAGCAGAGGCAGGAAGATGAGAGTGCCCATGCTCGTCCGTAAATCACAACAGCAAACCCCTTCCCTGAACGGCAGGGCTGACACACCGACCAAGTGCTGTATGCAGAAGACTGAGAGGCTGACTCACTGGGAAGCAAGGAAGGCAGGAGCCCCAACGGTCACTTTTACGGAAAGAAAAAAAAAAACCAAAAACCCCAAAACGTTAAGGGCAGAGATCTTACGGGTTCTAACTACCTCTATCCTCTAAGTGTAATGTCAAAGTAGTCAGTTAATATTTTCAAGCCCCAGCTTTTTCACAATGGATCCATTTTAATTTTAATTTTAATTAAATGGGTTTAATTAAATGGATTTCCATTTTAATACAATGGATCGAATCTTGGCCCTATCTTAGGAGCTGGTAATAGGCTGCGTCACTGTTGGTAAATCAACTTATTATTAGGTTACCTAGAAGCATATGTAATGTTTACTTATACGCCAGGAGAGGCACCCATCTAGAGCAGCCCTGGTGAACGGAACATCTGGTTGGGGTGCTGGTCGCTGAGGCAGAGGGGGATCCGTTTAGGACTTGTTAATAAAGCATCTCACTCAACTTCTGATTCCACAGCCTTACCAATAAACTGAGGATTACATCTCCCAGTCTGCTACCTTCTAGGGTTAGCCTAAGGATCAAGACTAGAACAGAATAATGGAGGGGAAAGCAGATGGTCAACAAAGTGAAGAGAAAGTACTTATCAACTGTAAAGATCTTAGTTACAAATAAAACATTACTATAATTCCTAGGGGCAACCTCAACTCCAAGACCCCAGTCACAGCCCTGAGGGCAGACAGAAAGCTGGACTTTGGGGCCCACTACCTGATGGTGGTGCCTTGCAAACGGTCTATCTTCTTGTTGAGCTCAGCAATGATGCTGTGCAGTTCTGTGATGCGTTCCTCGTACCGAAGCGTCGTTCGCTCCTGGACATCCTCATGTTCTCTCATGAGGTGGGACTGCTCGCACTGGGATGGAGAGAACAAGACAGGAGTGCAAATGAGGTGAAGTTCATGTAGGCAAATGGCTCTAAGTTTATGGCCTCAAACCATCATGACCTCAACACTGAGTAAACATATGCTTGCTCATTGGCCAGGAATCCCAGAAGGTGCATCGACAGTTGAATTTTACCATGCTTCAGGGGATATCTGAGTCTTGGCCTTTCCAGCATTCATTCTCTCTTTAGGGAAAGATTCCTCTGCCATTGCACACAATCTTTGGGGCACTATCAGTCTCCTGCTTTTCCCTAGATAAGAAGTGGGCAAGTGGCCCAAGCTAGTTCCATCAGATACCATATTTTGGGAATTTGCATCTTGAATGAATGGACCTAAGGTTGCATGGAGTCGATTCATTTGGTTGAGGGTCCTGTCCCTTAGTTTTTGTTATCTGCATCGACAGAGCGTCCTTCCCAAGTTTCTTCTTAGCTGTTCATTTTCCTTTTACCAAGTCATTCCTCTTTGCTGAAATTTGCTGGGTTACCTTTCAGCCACTTTTCAACCAAATAATCCTAAGTGGTATGACACCATTTCTTATCTAGCTGGTTATCTATAGACCTGACGCTTTTCAATGTCCTTTCCTACAGACTATAAACTCTGGGAAGGCAGGCATGAGGCCTTTGCATGATGTAGGCGCGGCACCTGGCGTTCGGTCTGGCTCACTGTGGGTGACCTGGCAGTGTTGTGGAATGAATAAACAAACCACAAGGTATCACACTGTCAAGAAGGCGGCTTTGCTTTGCAGAAACAAGGAAGCTGAGCTTCCCTTGTTGGCATTTGATGGGCTGAGGCAGCAGATGCTATAAAAAACAGTTTTTGTGGCTAGAATTTACACCCTAAGGAACCTGTCCGTCTTTCATTTCTCATCCCCCTCCTCTAACCCCCACCCGTCAACTGTGCGTTTAATCTCATTTACATAATAATAAAACATTCATCAGTGATGGAACAAGGAGTCTAGCTTCTGTCTCTGTATACTTCATTCAGCCCTAATTAATTTCCCATCCAGCAGAGGAATTTTAATTTCATTTTCAGCAAGGTCTTTCTGATGCCAGGAGCTGTGTGTACTTGCCAGCTTTGCACCCTCAGGGCTGGTGGCGGGCAGGCCAGGGTAAGACTTCTCAGCCACCACCTCCCGTGTCTTCTCCCCTCCTGACATCTGCTGGGGTTCCAGCGAGGTGACCCAGAAGCTACTGGGACATAAAGCCTCCACAAAGGTAAGCAGAATGCTACTCTAAGCCCACCTCAGTAATGAAACGGGAGTACCCCAGAGAGAAGCTGATGAATCATGACGGACCACACACCTATGAGCAACAGTCTGATCGGTAGTAACGTGGTGACTTCCTGGGGGCTGCTCAGAGCTCCACAGACAAGACTGGAGGCAACACAGTTGCAGGAGCTGTATCACAGACAGACCTTCGTGAGATGCTTTGAGAAACAGAAACGCGGACTTCTGTTCTTAATGACAAACATCGAATAACCTCCACTCAAGGTCAAACACACAGGAAATAAGTAGAACCAGAGGCAAGGATGGAGGATGAGGGAAAGTGACATTGCATGGAGGCTTTCCTACACTGACCAAGACTAACAGGCTGCAAATACTCTGCCCTTGAGTTATGCCTTTTTATCCATGATCATCACACTTTGAAAGGAACAACAGAAATCCACAAAATGACAGTGTCTCAAAGACACTATTTGTCAGTAAATGAAAAAGTTTCCTATTTCTCTGGAACACACCCAGGCAGAACACTGTTCCTTCTCTCTCCCCACAGAGGATCTATCAGCTTAAGTCACCAGTCTTTATTCCTGTCTTCAAATTGTGCATGTGTGTGTGTAGTAAGTACGGGCGTGTGTATGTAGCTGACATTCTCATGAAGGTCACCTGTTCCAGTTCATAAAACGTTTAAAGCACACTGCCTGGTCTGACCAGGGCCTCGCCTGCACCACGTACCCCCACCACACTGCCATCTTGTTTGTCCCTCCTTTCCAGCTTCCATATTCAGTTCACCGGGGCTACCAGCTAGTGTGAAATGCTTTCCCTTACAAACTTAGGGTGCTCTCTCTCTCTCCCTTAATTCCCCAATTTACAGGATCAACAGGCCACTACCACCCTACCCAGGCAGACAAGAAACTGCAAAATCCACTTAAAAATGAAGATGTGCAAGTGTTTACTCAAGAGGAAGGCACACAATCAATTGATCATCAAGACAACCCCGGGCCTCCCTGTTGACTGTTATGAGCCGCCCGAAAGTTCGGGTCCCGTGGGGCTGCCCAGGGTGCAGGGAGAGCAGATGGTTGATGGCCGGGTACTGAGAGCCTGGCGGCTGGTGGTGTGCCATCCTCACCTCTGCCTCTGACTGGGAAGTCTGCCTGGAGGTATGAGTATGAACAAGAGGCAACAGAAGGCCTGATGACTCAGTCAGACAGTGCTTGTAGCTAAAAGGAGAAAAAAGACTCATAATGTATATTTTGGAACATAGGGTTCTTCTGGGAATAGCAACAGGAATGTATTGGAGAAAAAAAAGTCCCCTAGTTGAAGGCAAAGGTAGCTGGTTTACACTCCATCTATTTTCATAAGTATGTTTTTTTAAATGGTGGAAAGCCTCTATAATTAACACGTCCTCTCAAAATAATAGATACACCTTGCTTTCCCATAATGTTTAATATATTGTGCTGAGTGACACAGGGAGGGTCACCATGACACCTACTTTGAAGGGAGCTATGGTCGCAGCATCCAAGTGGATTTCTCTGCTGGGGAATTAGAAACCTGGACAGAAATGGCGGTGAGGAGAGGGAGGGATGGTAGAATGCACCCTGGGGATTTTTTTCCCCCAGTGAGAAGAGAATATTGGAAAATTGTTAGCAAAACTTCCAGCCTCTAGATGAATGAATGACTGAAAAGACATTGCTCACAGTTCATGTGGACAAATCAACATCGCCATGAGGCACCCTATTAAACATACTTCACCCACTCTGGGCACACTCATTGTACACGGCCAAAGATATGCTGAGGCACTCATCTCCAAGCTGAGTGAGAATCCCTTGAGCTTTTCCAAGCTATGGAGCAGGGCGAACTGAACAGCTTCACAGGGCAACATGCAGGAGGAAGTGACCTGCAGGGCCCAAAAGAGCCCAACATAACACCCTTGTTAAGCAGCTCCCACTAAGCTGTACAAGACTGGCCCTGGAAAATGGCACGTCAGTGCCGGAAAAGTGGGAGATGAATGGGTGGCACCCCAGGCAGAGCCATTCTGTGCACAATTGGTGCCTTCCCACCCTGGCCACCTCCCACCCAGGCAGGACGGGATGCCTCTAGGACGCTCCAGCATCATCACAGGCCCGTGCCTCTCACCAGCCTGAGTTTGCACGACCTGTGAGAGCATTTTGTAACCTACAAGGCTGTGTGATTTCAGCGACTCTGCTTTACAAGTACACGGGCTCGGTCCAGCTCAGTACTGCCCCTCTGCATAGGAATCGCTATGGCAGGTATCCCAGTAAAGCCTCATTCAAGAAGCTAATACAACAGCGACAACTAGACAGGAAGGAGAGTTACTTCTGTGATTACCAGCATTTGCACAACTTCTTTGATTTTTAAGTTGCAAATTTAAGGACATAATAGGCATTTTTTTAAAATGAAAATATGGCATCTTTTCTTCACCATCCATTAACAGAATCGTTTTTCAAACTGCACCCGTTTCTCTCTAGTATTTTCTTACGTATGTGGGGCCCTCCCAGGACCACCACACGGGGTGTACCTCACAGAAGCATCACCACCCCTGTGGTGGCCAGCAGGGCTGCTCATCAAGACCCTGGCACCTCCATCCCTGCTCATGGTGGGGTTATACTACCTGCCCCCCACCCTGCCCCTTGAAGCTAGAAGTGGACATTGTTTCTGCCAGTGAGGTGAGTGAATATACACCCCCTTTAAAGCTCCTGCGGGGTCTTCCCTTCCCCAGCCATGGCTGCTGGCCATGCGCCAGCGAGCGGAGCGCATCACCCTGCAGCACAGTCTCCGCCAGCCCCAGCGCGCTCCTAGAAGAAGAACAAAATCTGGTATTGTAACCCATGGAAAACCTGGGGTTATTTGTTGCCACTGCATATCCTAACGATGCAACCATTTTACAGATTAAAACAGACTGAATGGAAAGGGACCGATTTATTTATTGTAACCCAGGTAACAAGCAGAAACCTCTGAAAAACCGTGATTCTTGTTTACACCATCAAGGAGTTAAAGCTTTCGTTAGCTGGTCTCCTTCCCACTCCCTCCCAGCTCCCTGACCCATGTACTGACCTCCCCCTCACCATTTGCCCAAAGATCTCCAGGGGCAGCAGAGCAGTCCCACCTTGGTCTCCCAGCCTGAATCACCTCTGGGAAATGCCAGAAAACATGAATATTACTCCATTCAATACCAAATGAGAGGTAGGAAGCCCCAACCGTTCTTTCCTCAACCCCCTGGGAGCACTGAAATAGAAAAGTAGACACAAGGGGCATAAAACAGGGAATTCTAATTCCCTCAAGCTCCCACCAAGCCATCTGTAGCTGCCACAGACAGTTTATTCAGCAACAACTTCCTTAACGAGCAATGGCAGCCTCTTGTAGCAAAGGGTAAAAGTGAGGGATTATTTTCTTCTCCTTACTGTACAGAAGCACCTCATACACTTTCAGCTGACAAAATAAGAAACAGTCTCAAACAAACAACACCCTACCGCTTTTTTCTTCTCTTCTTACATCTGGGGTTTTGCATCCAGGGCTCTCCTTCCTCCCAGCCTATATTCAATGTCTGACTGCTCCTACAGCCAGAGGCCTGCGGTGGCAGCACCATGTCAGCCCTGACTTCCTGGAGGTCACTATCACTAGGCATCGAAATTTCTCCTGCAACAACACATTTTCAGTTTGAAAGGCAAAGAAAGAAGATTGGGATTGGAGATGATGAAAATTTTGTTTTTCTGAATTTCCCTCGGCACTTAGTACATAC